TGTACATAGATAGGGTCACTATGAGTTGCAAATGACTTGACGGCACTTAACAACAGCAACAACAATCTATAATCTTAGCCCTGGGGATACAGTCCATGGGGAGTTGGAAGGATAAACTCAACAGTGCTTCTCTGGTAGTTTAAATCGACCAAGAGCTCTGAAGGGAAAAGAGGGGCAAACTGCTTCTTAGTGAGCTTCAGAAAGCCCTCTGGATCATCACCTATAAGCCAGTTCTGACATGATGACAATGGCTGAGACGGACTCAGAGACTAAACATTACAGTTTTGATTAGGGAAAGTATGAGTCACTGTTACAACAGATTATTTGAAAATTAAGTAGCTTTAGTTATGTGTAACCATGAAATGTTTTCAAGATGTATCTTTAATCAAATCTGCAATAACACCTTTTAACTAATATTTACCATATACCACCTACATTAGGCAGCTCTGGTGGCCTAGTAGCAAGCAGCTGTGCTGCTATCTGTAAGGTGCACAGTTCTAATCTACCAGCTGCACCAAGGGAGAAAGATAGAGAATCTCCTGTGGAATTAACTCCCTCTGAAAAATACACTGGAGGGTCAGCTATGGGTTGGTTCTGACTTGATGGTACACAACAACATGTTAAAAATATAATAACTATATATAAGAATATATGTCCTAGTGCAACAATGAATGAGTGGAAGCCCAAAATCTCTGTAAATGTTTATGAAAATTAATAAAATATAATTATAGAAAAAAAAGAATATATGTCCTTATCTATGTTTCTCTATCTATCTATCTATCTATCTATCTATCTATCTATCTATCTATCTATCTATCTATCAACATGCGTGGAAAGGAAATACAAAGGAGTGCTAATGTGATATGGGAAAAGGATGGGCAATCTCCTCCATTTTGATTTACAGTCTCTGAAAATCCCCTGGAGGGTCGGTTATAAATTGATTCCAACTCAAAAGCAGTGATTTGAGTTGAATTAAAAGGATTTATTTCTGAGGGTGGCACTAGGGGGCTAACTATAATTTTTTAATTTTTTTTTATCTTAATGAAAGTTTACAGAGACTTTGGATTTCCATTCGTTCATCGTTGGACTTTTCTCCCTGCCCACCCCTCCCCCCCTAATTCACTCTTCTCTTTGAATAACTTTCTATTTTAATGTTTCATACTGTCTCGTTTATAATGACCTTAAATGGTTCTTTTAATTCAGGTGGGATAGACTCATGGTTAAATTTTGGGTCTTATGGATTTTATTTTCTTTAGCTTCAGTTTGAACTCGCATATGAGTAGTTGATGATATGTTCCACGGTCAGCACCTGGCCTAATTCTCACAGCTGATACTGAGCTTCTCCAGTGATTCTGATTCCTGTGCAGACTATCAGGTGAGGTCAATGTTATAGTCACCATTTATATTTCTTTTAAAAGATATTTGCAATGAATAAATCATTGACTATACAAAATTCTATCATTTAATTTCCAGCCTTGTTACTGTCACTAAACCTATGTTTTCCAACTGTTGATCCTTCTCTCTTCCGAATGTTTGCATTCCAGTCACCCATTATTAGTGCATCCTACTTGAATGTTCAATCATTTTCTGACTGCAAAAGTTAGTAGAAATCATCTATTTCTTCATCGTTTGCTCTGGTTGTTGGTGCATATATTTAAGTGACAGTACTATTAACAGACTGTTTGAGCTTTTTGGTATGTGTAGGGATACTATCCTGCTGCTCACAACATATTTCAAGATGGATCTGGAAATTTTCTTTTTAACTATGAATGTGACTCCCTTATTCCTCATCTTTTCATTTCTAGCATAGTAGATAATATGATTGTCTGATTCAAAATGCCCCATGCCAATCCATCTCATTTCTCCAATGCCTGTTGCTGTTAAGTGCTATCGAGTTGTAGGCAACTCATAGAGACCCTATGAATGAAAGACCTGACACTTGTATAACTTTTATCCTTTCTCCAGGTTCATAGGGTTTCCAGAGGGAAGCTATTTTGGAAGTGGATGCTGCTGCTGCTTCCAAGCTTGTTTTAATCAGGGAGCTCCACCAAACACCGTCCACCATGGATTATCATTATCGTATTTGACACATTAGGGTCACAGTGTTCAGCTTCACAGCAACCACAAGTTACTTCTGTACAGCAAGTGGACAGATGAGGGCTATAGGACCTAGAAGAATGTTTGACCAAAAACATTGACCATTGCCTAGTATATCAATATTAATGCATTTAATTTCTCTCTTAACAATGTCCAATTTTCCTACATTCAAGCTTCTCACATTCCATGGTCCAATGACTACTGTCTCTTTGCAGCTGTTCCTCTTCCTTTGTGTTTAGCACTCAGAGGGCTCAGCCTCAGGTGTGATATCCCTAGTCTAATCTAAGTGTGCTCTATTGTGCATAGAGTTTTCAAAGGCATGTTATTTTTGAAGTGAATGGCCAATTCTTCTTCCTCGTCTGCCTAAATTTAGATGCTCAGCTTTAGAGCAGTATCTGTCAGAAAAAAGACACTTCCCCATTACAAAAGATTGAGCTGGATTTCAGAAGAGTCTCTGCATCTTGCACTAGAGCATGGAGAACCCAAAACAAAGAGGAGAAATCAGAAAGGTAAGGAGATGAACAGGAGGTTTAAAAGGGCAGCTCAGGAAGACAAAACAAAGTATTATAACAAAATGTGCAAAAGTTCCTCTGCTTCATCTGCTTCATCCACTTCCTCTGCTTCCTCTACTTCATCATCATCATCTTCCTCAACAGGTTCATAAATCTTTTCTTCTTTTCATCTCCTAATTGATCCTGAGATTGCTCTTGAACTTCAAAAGGATTCTCACCCTTAACAAAGTGCTCATACCATGCCTTCACAATTGGATTATTTAAAATACTTGTAGCAGTCAAGACACTCTTTATTTGTTTCTTATAAACCTTTGATGTGATCAGGAGACTTTAAGTGCTGTTGGATTAAACTATGTAAGTCAGGGATATACACACTACAGGCATTGCAGTGAATAGTCTCTACTTTCATCGTGTGGTCATCTGCAGTAACACCTTCCGTAGAATCTTTGTCAATTATTTCACCTACTTCTGTCAGACCAGTTCTCTGTTGTTTACGGATACGTGTTCTTTTAACTTTATTCACCGTATATTTATGCAAAAACTCTGTAACTATTCTGTCAAGTTTGGTTTGTTCCTGAATATGATCAAATGTTTCCTGATGTGAAGATTTTTCCAAATGAAGTTTCATTATCTTTTTCTTCAAAATGTTCGAAACTTACAACATGAACAGGTAAATGCTGTTTTGTATCCATCTCCTTATTTCTAATTATTTTTCTCTCTTCTACACTTCTGTTTCTCTTGCCAAGCTTCATCATTTTTCTTTTTCTTCCAATTTGGAATCAGTTTGTATAGGTAATTTTTGTGAGCGTGGGTTTCTTGATGAAGTTTCCACCAGGCTTATTAAATGGCTGCATTATTTTTCTCTTTATTCCTCTTGCAGCAGCAACTGCCACATTGGTGGATTTGTTTTGATAGTCAATAACAATTCCGGGTCTATGAACATTTCCAAAATCTCCCATATGCTGTTGCCCGCCCTGCCCCCCCCCCCCCATGACTGTCCATGCTATATAACTGACT